ATCTACATATATATATATATATATAGATATCAGGTCGGCGAACTCACAAGGGACACGTGAGCGAAAATCGGGAATTCATTCGGTGTTCAGTGTAGAAACTGGGTATTGATTCGGGGTTCGCCATGCGCAGTGACGACTACAAGTTGCGAAGGGGATCGAGCAGCTTTATACAAACCTTATCGTGGCTATGGCGAAAGGTAATCGAGCTTTGGAACGCGGATCGGCTATAGCGGACGGAGGTGGAGGGTGGAGAACAGACATCAGGACACGTCCACTAGCGAAACAACAAAACCGAGAATTGATTTGGGGTTCAACAGAACACGGCCGCGGCGTTATATCCTGCAGGGAGAGACAGGGCATCTAGGAATCTGTTTGGACATCGGACACAGAATAGGACAACTCAAGTTATATAATTTTACCTTCATCGTGCGTTGAGCGAGCGACCAACGTCGGACGGATACGGATGTGCGACCACCGAACCAGCTATGGTGGAGGGATATCGAGCGAGGAAGAGCGAAGAGCGAAGAGCGAAGAGCGAACCGAACACAATGTGGCAACTTGATCGGGCTATGACGGCAGGTGGGGGGGGGGCTAAAGACCAAATATCAGAACGCGCACGGAAGCGATAGCGCGACTTGATCTATGGAGCGACAACAGAAGCACGGAGTGAAGAGCGAAGATTGAGCGGGCTATGGCGGAAGGTGGGGGGACTGAAGACCAAATATCAGAACGCGCGCGGAAGCGGTAGCGCGACTTGATGTGTGGAGCGACAACAAAAGGGATAACTCGAGGGCTGCAACGCCTTTTATACTTTGCTGCAGCAGGCCTCGCGTCGGGATCAAGGTGGGGCCGAATCGATTCGCATATCACATTCCTGGGCCCATGAAACGCCATCAAGGTGGGGCCGAATCGATTCGCATATCGCACCCCTGGGCCCATAAAACGCCAGGGCCTATAAACGGTAAGGGGTACCGGAAATTGTCAGCTGTCGATCAACAATTTTCAACCGCTCAGATGAACGGAGCCACGGATATGCCAGTGGCCCCAAAATCTCCGTCAACTCCGGCGTGCAATGATGTGACAGCTCCCGAAAACAAGGGGCAGGCAATGTCATTTTCGCAGTTCTAATCTGGACTGTCGATCGGCATGATCCGACGCACGAGGTCAGGCGCAAGAATCCATAAGGTGCGGCGATTCGTTGTGCGCCGAGGCGGTTCGTTGCGCGCCGAGGCCAGACGACAGTTTATTTCCCGCCGAGGCGCGGCAATTCGTTGTGAGCCGAGGTAAAAAACACCGGAAATCTATAAGTTCCGGTGTCGCTGTCATTCGGACATTTTGCAAATGTCAACGGCGCTGGATATCGATGCGCTTAGCCATGCACCATCGCCATCGATGCGCTTAGCTCATCGCCATCGCCAAGGCTCGCCATGCACCATCGCCATCGATGCGCTTAGCTCATCGCCATCGAGACGCAAAGCTATATCCCCCATCGCCGCCGTCGCGCTCGCCTGACCATCGCAGCGCTGATAATCGTCATCGCTCTCATTGCAGCGCTGGCCATCGATGCGCCATCGCAACGCTGGTTCCATAGTGGCCATCGCAACGCTGGTTCCATCGCTGCGCCATCGTTTTCGCTGCCATCGCAAGGCTGGTTCCATCGTTGCGCCATCGTTATCACTGCCATCGCAACTCTGGTTCCATCGTTGCGCCATCTCTCAATCGGTGCGCCATCTCTATCGCTGCCATCACTATCGTTGTTCCATCGCTGCGCCATCGCTCTCCACTGGTGCGCCATCGCTATCACTGTTCCATTGCTGCGCCATCGCTCTCCACCGGTGCGCCATCGCTATCGTTGTTCTATCGCTACCATCGCTATCGCTATCGCTGCATTGTAACGTGTTCCATCGCTGCGCCATAGCTCTCCACCGGTGCGCCATCGCTCTCCACCGCAACGCTGGCCATCGCTATCGAAGCCCTGGCCAATGTTATCCCACCGCAACGCTGCGTGATTTCTCTCTCCATCGCCGCACGATCTCCCTCCATCGCTGAGTGATCACTCTCCATCTCACTCCATCACTGCGCGATCTCTCTCGACCACCGGGTAACCTCCATCCCTGCACCAGAGGCTCTCCATCATTCATGCGCGATCCCGCCATCGCCATTGTATTATTGTTTCAGGCCGTCGTCGGTGCAGCCGCCCATCACTGTAGAATCGCACGAAACAAGTGACAGGTATGCTTAACAAAGGTTTAACTCGATGGAACCTGATGTTGTGCAATAACAAATTTTGGTCATCGCTGTGCCTTCTCTCTTTATCGTTGCGGCATCGCTAACCATTGTTGCGCGTCCTCTCTCCATCTCTCTCCACCGGTGCGCGATCTCTACCGACCTTTCGTCATCTATCTCCATTATCATCTATCTCCTTCGGTGCGCCATCTTTCTCCATTGTTGTGCTATCTTTCCTCATCTATCGGTGCGCTATCTCTACCGACCTTTCGTCATCTATCCCCATCGTTGCGGTATCTTTCCTAATCTATCTCCTTCGTCATCTATCTCCTTCGGTGCGCTATCTTTCCTAATCTATCTCCTTCGTCATCTATCTCCATCGCTGCGCTATCTTTCCTAATCTATCTTCATCGTCATCTATCTGCTTCGGTGCGCCATCTTTCTCCATTGTTGTGCTATCGCTAACCATCGTTGCGCCTGCTATCTCCATTGCTGCGCCATGTTTCTCCATCGGTGCGCAATCTCTCTCTCTCGCTGCGGCACATCTCTCAATCGGTTTGCGATCTCTTTCCCCTCCTGCGCCATCTACCTTCTTCCCCGGAATATACAACCCACGTTCATTATAGTTGTCTTTAGACTGAAAGATGACCCGAATTCAGCTGTAATGACCGGATGTTGTATTCGGGGGAAGACTGTGACTCCATCCATCTCTCTTGGTGCGCCATCTCTCTCCATGTATTTTCATCGATGCTCCGCCTTCCATCGCTTCGCAATCTTTCTCCATCTTAAAAAATAGTACGTCATTTTTCCCTATTTCTCTCTTGCGGCGATCTATGGCTCGTACTACACGCAGAACAAGCTGGAAACAACTTGCACTTGTACCCGCAGTTTCGTAATGGAAATGCTCGTTTACAAGTGCGAATTTATTCGCTCTTGAACCAACCAGCCCCTTAATTTGTTACTGCTTAGTCCATAGGTCAGAATTAACTCGCACTTGCGCCCCCAGTTTCGTAATGAAAATGCTCGTTTGCAAGTGTGAATTTATTCGCTCTTCAACCAACCATCCCCCTAAATTTGTTACTCTTCAGTCCATA